TGGTGAGTAAGAAAATCATGTTAAAAACCCTCTCAAATCCCTACTGTATAAAATTGTGCATCATAAATTCATAAATGGTAATTTCTTTTTCTTCTTTTTTATGCTGCAGGTTCAAATCAAGTATCCCACATGAAAATTGAGCTCTGACCACCATTTTGTCAGTCTTTTCCATAATGGACAGAGGGGATGCTGTTGTATATACAAGATATAAAAATTTGAAGATTGCATGGACTGCTACTGAGCCTTTTATCATTTGCTTGGTACCAAGAAGCCCTTTATCATCTTTAGGTCTATTGATCAAAGAGAGCCATTATTTTTTTCTGCCCTTCAATTTCATCATCTTTTTTTTTTTTTTTTTTTTTCAATGTAATTTTGTTGTCTAATTTTCATCCACTGTAAAATCCCAGAAGCAAATTTCTGTATTCTGGTGCAAATTAAGTGTTTGCTTACAGCACCATGTAAAATAACAAATGCTAATTAATTAGAAGGAAGAGCTTTGTCATTTCATTTCAATGAGAAATTTTTGTCTATTGTCATTTGTAATTTTCCACAAAGGTCATGTCAATGGAACACTGTTAAAAGTTTGCATCTAAATCTTTTGGATTTGATTCTAACTTGTGTTGCAACCAGCTGTATGAGTGGGGTCTCTTGCTCTCTAAAAAGTCTTAATTGAATGATTAAGACATTTGGTTATAAATTTTGAGCTGGGGTCAACCATGATTTCTGCCATATTTTGGGCATCTGTAATTTTCACAGGTTATCCAAAAACAGAAGCTTCTGTTCCTTTTTACTGTTCTGAATAGAAAAATGAATAACAGCAGCAGCAGCAGAGGTGTTAGAAGTTAGAAGTTAGAAGTTAGAACCACTCCCATTGAAAATCTTTAGATTTTTTTTAATTTTTTTTTATGATATACAACTATACAAAGAACATCAAAAGAATCCCAGGTTGGCAATGGTGAGATTCTGACTAGGCCCAATGTATCATAGAGCTTTATAATCTCACCCACTTTAAAATTGTATGGCAATAGAAAAACAGGAGAAAAGGGTCTTGTAGTGGAGTTCAGGTTTGGAAAGATACCCTTTAAAATTTAGACTAATCTTTTTCTGAGAGGTGGTTAGTAAAAATCCAAGTTTTGGGTTCAGCAAAAGATTTGTGCATTGCAGCCTTAATCATTATTTTTAATTCAAGGGTCTATTATTGGTCTGCAGATTAGTGTAATTTAATTACTAGAAAGATGCTTTGGATGTGGTGCACAGCATACTTCAACAGTTACATATCTTATTATATAATTGTTGTAATGATAGGCAAATTAATAATTACAATTAGAAAATTATAGTCTGACAGTCTTGTCTCCATGAAATTTAAAGCCAATTACATGGAGACGTGTACATGATCGATATTTTTCTTATCTTTTCCCCCTTTTTTTCCTTTGTCCTCTTCTTGATTCTTTATGCAGTTGTTTCTTCGAATGCTTGGGTGGTTCTTTTTTGATTAAGGAAAAAAAGTTACTTGTATCGGTGATAACGTTGTTTTATTATTCCAGTTAATAATATAATGATATATAAAAAAGTTATCTTATGTGTTATTGTGTTATTGATCAAAAATAACAAAAAGTAATCTTTGTTGAATTGAGAGTTTCTCTCATAATTAAGATTCCTCGTATTTAGTAATTTGATTGAGAATTTGGGAAATAAAAAGGGAAATTACTTAACTTGACATGGACTGACCACTTTAGGCTTCACTGGCACCCAATTTCAATATTCTTAACTGAATTGAGCTAGCATCAACAAAACAATTGAATTAATAAGATAGTTCTATATTACTCTAGACGTTATGTATTTAATATCTAAATTACCCTAGAAAAATGATCGAAGTTCAAGCTTTAATAATCTTATAGATTATTTTATTTTCATGAGAACTTACCCGCTTATTAGTTTAACAGTACTTTTCTTCTCAATGTCAAAATATGACGTACGTTCGATTTCCCTCTTCTCTCGGTTATCAAAAGAGAGGGTCTGGATTGTTCTTTGTTTTTCTTGAATACCAACCACTGATATTTGAGCAATTTGAGCAATTTGTTGTATGTGTCTGGCATGATGCTTCTACTAAGCTAGCTGTTGGAAACAAATCTGTGGGTGAAATGTCCTAATCAAATCCTGAAATCTATGACCTTAATGGAAGGGAAAAAAGCTTCGGGTCTCCGCGAGATGGCTTTGGCTTTTGCAACCAAAAACCCCCAAGAGAAATGAGGGGACCCTACCCTTTACCTATAGACCTCCTGCTAGAAAGAATGTTTGGAGAGATTTCAAAACCTCAAAGACAACAAGTGGGTTTGTTGGTTTAAGGGCAATTATAGTGACCCATTATTATAGGGTAGGTGTCCTATGAATTAACCAAGTTGTCACTATTCTATCACCCCATTTTCCCCAATGTTCTCATTTGGGCTCTTTACCTTTCACCTAAGGGAGGGAGAGAGAGAGAGAGGGCCTGCCTTTTGAAACTTTAATTGGCCATTTGGTGTTTTTCGCTTTGCTTTTGTTGGGGAGAAAGACAAGCATCATTTGCTTCACCAACCATTGCATTATTTCATGCTCTCCAACTGTAAACGTGTTTTGTCTCTCGTTATTTCTTTTTTTTTTCTTTTCCCTTGCATTCTTCTAGAGCCTCTTACTTCTTTCTTATTACACAAATTACACTTTAATCAAGAAAGAAATGAATGAATGAATCTAATGCCATCTCCTTTTCATAAAATCTGGTTAGATTTGAAATGTCACAATCGCACCCCGTTTTCCTTTAGTTAGAACGGTGGACAAGTTTTGTGGTGGCGAAGTAAACCTCAAATGTCAAACAAGTAAAATACAAACAATAAAGATTTTTTTTTTTTAAATGAGGGAAACTTAAAATATACATAACCTTGCTTCACTTATTTTCTTGCCCTATTTCATTTGTTTTACTTGCTTTTCACATTTTTCATTGGTGAGAGAGTATTTGTAAGTTTGTGACAATTGCTTAATTTGCATTAAAGAAGTTCGAAGAATAATAGAGTAAGAGTCGAACTCTTGTTGTAGACATCCATGATGACATTTAGAAATCCGGAAGAAACTCGTATTTGAAATCAAGCAAGTAGACAATAATTCAATGGAAGATAATTCCCTAGTCTGAAATAAAGATTTTAAACTGTAGAATTCATAAAACAAACTTGTATTTGAAATCAAGCAAGTAGACAAGAATTCATAAAACAAACTCGTATTTGAAATCAAGCAAGTAGACAAGAATTCATAAAACAAACTCGTATTTGAAATCAAGCAAGTAGACAAGAATTCATAATTCAATGAGAGAGAACTCCCTGATTTGAAATAAAGATTTTAAACCTGTAGAATTCATAAAACAAACTTGTATTTGAAATCAAGTAGACAAGAATTCATAAAACAAACTCGTATTTGAAATCAAGCAAGTAGACAAGAATTCATAAAACAAACTCGTATTTGAAATCAAACAAGTAGACAATAATTCAATGGAAGAGAACTCCCTAGTCTGAAATAAAGATTTTAAACTGTAGAATTCATAAAACAAACTTGTATTTGAAATCAAGCAAACAGACAAGAGTTCATAAAACAAACTCGTTTTTTTTTTTTGGGTCAAAATAAAACAAACTCGTATTTGAAATCAAGCAAGTAGACAAGAATTCAATGGAAGAGAACTCCCTAGTCTGAAATAAAGAGTTTAAATTGTAGAATTCATAAAACACTCGTATTTAAAATCAAGCAAGTAGACAAGATTTCAATGGAAGAGAACTCCCTAATATGAAATAAAGATTTTAAATGTAGAATTCATAAAACAATGGGACTCATTATTATATTCTGAAGTCCTCTCCTTTTAAAAAGGTCGGTAAATCCTTAAACTCACATGCACGCCGATGCAGGGAGTCGATCCCAAGGCCATTCCCAGGAGGAGCAAAGCCGCAACCACTCCATCGTGGTGCCCATCTGCTTGAAGTTGATGTATTGATCATCATTATCCATAACCAATTGAATTCTCCAAAACCCAAGTAGAACTTTGGGCCTGCAAGCTTGCAGGTTGTTCCTAGTTAGGCCCCAACAAACCCAAAAAGGTTTGGATTGGAAAAGTTGAGATCTGGGTTCATTGTTATGGGTGTGTAGGCTGGCCCATTCGTACAAGTGACCCAAAATTGCCAAACCAAACAAATTGGCATTGTCGGTTAGTTTAGTTGTCTGTGTGTGTTTGTTTCCATAGGTTGTCGTTCTCGTTTGTTGGGTGAAAGGTGTCAAATGTCGTGTCATGGGATCATTTGATTTCTGCCTTTAGGAATTGGAAGATGAAAATCAGTCGTTTGTCGTTTGTCCTTTGGTTGTATTCACTTATTCGACCAATCCCTGCCTGGTTTATGAACTAGATGTGTTGCTTGTTTGACCAAATAATATGTGATAATTTGCACAATTCAAGCTAATTGAATCATTTGATTAACAATTTATCATTTTTTTTGGGGCAAAGGTCGTGCTTGGATGGTTCATTGCACTCGGATTTCCTTATGTATGCATTTAAAAGTCAATTCCTTCTCTACACACGATTTGCCTAAAAGTAAGATGATTTATTATATTTATGCGAGATGAAATAGTAATATGAGAAGGTAGAAGAGAATACGGAAAAGGAAATGTAACTAACATTCTCAATCATAAATTACTATACATGCGAATATCTTTATTAGACAATGATCTAGCTAAGTACCGATTTCGAAGTGTTTATAAAATATTTAAGATAACTAAAACTATTTATGACAACATTTAGTAGAAAAGTTAAAAAGTACTTTGAAAAAAATCACTTTGATATTTATCAACCGTTGTTTTATTAAAAGCGCTTATAAACAGAATTGCTTTCTCGATAAGCATTTCCTAAAATAGCACCATAATTAGCGCGTAGGTAGAGCAAAATGTAGATATGAAAAGAAAGTGCGAAAAGTCACATGGCCTGCCCACTCTCGCAAGTCGCAACAAACAATCGAAGTAAGAAAATCAATCAAAAATTCTAAGAGGCTCCCTTAGGCAAGTCTCTTACTAAATTTAGCGCAAAAAAGGCCCCATCTTTCAGCGCCACACAGAAACAGAGTCATTTAGTCGTTACACACAGAACAGAGATCTGAGAAGACGAAGAAGAAGAAGAAGACGAAGCAGAAGAAGAAACACACACACATATATATATATACACATTAATTTATTAATGTCTCGAGCTCAAAACCATGAGTTTCAAGAATGGTGGAACAAGCAGAGACAGAGCAACCACGACCTCCTCCTCTCCAACGAATCAAGCCACCTGCTCGCCATCGATATCCACAGCCCCGGGCCCGATCGGACGGTCGGGAAAGACCGCTCACGAAGCGCCCGCCAGCTGTCCTGGGTCTACCTCCTCAAGTTTCAGCAAATCGCCGCCTCCCTCTCCTCCGTGACCAGCTCCTTCCTCGTCCTCCTCCGCACAGCGAATCGCCGAGTCACCTCGCCCGATTCCCCCGCCGATTCGTCATCGTCGCGCCTCTACCGCGTCATCAAGGCTTTTCTGATCGTCGTGCTCCTGCTGCTCTGCTTCGAGCTCGTGGCCTACTTCAAGGGGTGGCATTTCAGTCCGCCATCGGTGAGATCAGCCGAGTTCGTGGAGCTTCTCTACGCCAATTGGCTCCACGTTCGGGTCAATTACTTGGCGCCGCCATTGCAGAGCTTCGCCAATCTCTGCATCGTGCTCTTTCTGATTCAGTCTGTTGATCGCATTGCTTTGGTGTTCGGATGCTTCTGGATCAAGTTTCGGAGAGTCAAGCCCAAGGCGGTCATGGAGTACCCAATGACGTCGTCGTCGAATCAGGACGAGGAGGGGAACAGTACTGAGGATGTGAATGTGGAGGATTATCCCATGGTGTTGTTGCAGATCCCTATGTGCAATGAGAGGGAGGTAAGATGATGTAGGTTTCTAATCCCTAACGACACCGTTTAGATTTCCTTTAATGTGTTTTTATATTTATGTTTTAGTTACTAGTTAATATCAAGCTTCAATTTTTATTGTTTTTCATAAAATGATAAGAGTGATACATGAGCCTTGTATGGCATTTTACATGTTTAGATTAGTTACAAACATAAGTTGGAAGTTAGAACTGGGCATTGTTAAATTTGATTGCTTTTGATATAATGCTACAATGTTGGTCTTGATAGATTACTAGTGTTTCTGTTATGCCTTCTAGCTACCCTTTGTCTCTTATTTAGTATTGAAATGTGCTTCTGTTGGGTGACAAACAGGTGTACCATCAGTCGATTGCTGCGGTTTGTATTCAGGACTGGCCAAAGGAGAGAATGCTTGTGCAGGTTTTGGATGATTCCGATGATATAGAGGTTCAACAGCTTATCAAGGCGGAAGTAAGCAAGTGGCAACAACGGGGTGTCCCCATATTGTACAGACATCGGCTTATGCGCACAGGGTATAAGGCAGGGAATCTGAAATCTGCTATGAGCTGCGATTATGTTAAGAATTATGAGTTTGTGGCCATCTTTGATGCAGATTTTCAGCCGGGACCTGAGTTCTTGAAGAAAACCATTCCTTATTTCAAGGTAATTTTTTACTCTCTATTAGAACACACTATTCTGATTAATCCGTTGGTGTTTTCGGAGTTTTGTACAAGTATACACTATAGAGAATGGGACCATTCATTTGCACTCTCAGCTTATGTGCATGATTAAGTTCACAATACTTGAATCATCTAGGCTGCTTGCAACTTCACTTCTTAATTCACAAGTCCTTGTTTGCTGGACTGAAAGTGGGTTTTGTATTGTTTTCTTGAAGGGGAATGATGATCTAGGATTGGTCCAGACAAGGTGGTCTTTTGTAAACAAGGATGAGAACTTGCTTACCAGACTGCAGAATATAAACTTGTCCTTCCACTTTGAAGTTGAACAACAGGTCAATGGGGTGTTTATCAACTTCTTTGGGTTTAACGGTACAGCTGGTGTGTGGAGGATTAAGGCCCTTGAGGAATGTGGTGGTTGGTTGGAACGAACGACTGTTGAAGACATGGATGTTGCTGTTCGTGCTCATCTTTGTGGATGGAAGTTCATATATCTGAATGATGTCAAGGTGCATATTTTCCATTGTCAAAGTTTCGATTTTACATAGTTTAAAGCTTCCTTGTATGGTTTGCTGAACATGCTGCTTTTGCAGTGCCTTTGTGAACTTCCAGAGTCCTACGGGGCATACAAGAAACAGCAACATCGCTGGCATTCTGGTCCAATGCAGTTATTCCGTGTGTGTTTCTTTGACATACTCCGTTCAAAGGTATAGAAGTTCCTTTATATTCATTAATTTTTAGAAGAATATTATTCATTATGTTAATAGTAGGATATCTAAGGCACAAATAGTGTAAAAAGACTTGATTATCTGTAAAATTAAGAAAGCGATTGACGTGCATTGCCTTTTGTTATGAGAAAGATAGGCTCTTGTGGTCATCTGAATCTCAAGTCAGAAAAAATTTGACTTTGGTACAAATTTTTTTTCCCAATATAAGTAAGTACACATGAACATAACCTTTATTGTTTTCTCATTCCAGGTGAGTTTGACCAAGAAAGCAAATTTGATATTTCTCTTCTTCCTCCTTCGGAAGCTTATTCTGCCATTTTATTCGTTCACTCTCTTTTGCATCATTCTTCCCTTGACCATGTTCCTACCAGAAGCTCAGCTACCAGCATGGGTTGTTTGTTATGTCCCTGGAATTATGTCTGTCTTGAATATTCTTCCTGCACCACGCTCATTCCCATTTATCGTCCCCTACCTTCTTTTCGAGAATACCATGTCAGTGACCAAATTTAATGCCATGATATCAGGATTGTTTCAGTTTGGAACTTCTTATGAGTGGATAGTTACAAAGAAACTGGGAAGGTCATCAGAGACAGATTTAGTTGCTTTTGAAAGGGAGTCTGAGCCGCTAGTGCAAACTACTGGTCTTCAAAGGTCCGCCTCAGAATCAGGCCTTGATGAGCTGACCAAACTAGAGACATCTAAGAAAACTGGGAAGAGGAGGAGAAATCGATTATATAGGAAGGAACTTGTAATTGCCTTTGTATTGTTGGCTGCTTCAGCAAGAAGCTTGCTGTCTGCCCAAGGAATTCACTTCTACTTCCTACTATTTCAAGGGATCACCTTTCTAGTTGTTGGCCTTGATTTGATAGGAGAGCAGGTGAGCTGACCTCCTCCGAGTAATGCTTTCAAGTGGTGTTGAGTGCTTTCCCAGAATGTACCATGGGGCGGGTACTTTGATCAGAGCTTTGAAATCCATATCGGCGCGCCGATGACAAAGCTGTAACCGTCAGTTCCCTGCTATTTTCGATAGTCGACTCCCCTGATAGAAGCAATTTCATTGTGCTCGGCACGAATCTGTAGACGGTAACTAGACTCTCTCAATCCAAAACTGTATGTATCATTGTTGGTGCCAAGCCACAGTTCTTGAAGTTTGTCTCATTGATTTAGATATGGGAAAGGGGCCCTAAAGATTAGTTTGTAGGAATGGATCCAATTTTCCAGTCCCATCTGTTTGTCTGGTATAAAATACCAATGTACAATTGGTTGCCTGTGCCAAAGGCTGGCGTCGTTAGATCTTCACATTTGTTATTCTTTATTTTTGCTATTAACAAATTGTGTATGAGAAATTACATTTGATTTGATCAGCTTGAAATTTTGTTGAGAGGACTTTTTCCTTGTTCTTCAAGAAAAGCTATTGTATATGGTTCGTTTATATGCAATTTGGAGCCTGGTCTTTTCAGCTTAGACAAACCTCAGGACCGTATGACGGACACAAACCCGAAACCTCTGCGGCTCCAACAGCTTGCCAATGCCAAATCTTGTCCAAATTCCACGGTTTTTGGCATTGTAAGCATTTCAAACTCTGATAAAAGCTTTGATGGTTAAAGCAACATAACTAAGGTATGTTGAAAAATATTTAACTTATAAAATTCAATGTCAACAATCCAGTTTTAGTAAATCATCCATTACAACTTCTTTGCGCCAAGACCAAGTAGTCCTACACAATTTAAAAAAGCTAGGAATTTACTCCTTAATGACACAATTGGAAGCTGCGAGCCGATTATGTGATGCAGTCCCCTTATGCCTTGCTATCTACGCTCACGGGTTCAGCATCTTTAGCCGCTGTTTTCTGTAAAGCCAAAATCAAAACCAGTCTATTAAACCCAGAAATCATGAAATCACCACCAGCAACTGCAACCAAACGACAATTGTTCGAATCATAAATTGAAAACAATGTCCGACTAGAAGAATACTACTTACATTGGAATCCGGAGAGTCCGACTTGCTCAATTTGGCAAACATGTTGCCGTAAAACTTGGCCTCCTTTTTATTGAATTCTTTCATCTTCTCCTTCAAAGTCTTGTACTCCAACTTCACATCCCTGTTTCAACGTAGAAAGAAGTGTGAACATTTCAACTTCTCCATCACACAAAATACTGTAAGAGAGAATCCAGACACTTGAGAAGAAGCAAAACCTGTTTTTGGGGTCTATTTCAAGAGCCTTCTTGATGTCAAGCTCAGCCAAATCCAAATCTGCCAGCTGAATATATGCCTGAGCCCTTCTGTACAGGGCCTTCACATTTCTACCCTCGATTTCCAACACCTGTGCACAAAATAGTCGGTTAGTAACTGTAAAAGTCAACCACAGAACGGGAACTTCCAAGCATTTCTAAGTTCTAAATTGCGGACCTTGGAACACAACTTTTCAGCCTGTTTATAATCTTTCAGCTTCAGCTTGCAAGCTGCATTGTTAAGATTGCAAGCAACCTTCAACACCTTAGCCTGTTTTTTGTCCTCTTCGCTAAAGGAAGTATCATAATCGATGTACTTGACAGCCTGCACGGAAAGAGCTCCAGTGAGCATAACAGCTCAAGTCCAATCATCTGGTTCATGAGTCAACATTTGTCATCCTACCTTTTCATATCTCTTGGAAGCTCTTGCATATTTACCAGCCTTAAACAGTGCATTCCCTTCTTCCTTCTTCTTACCAGCAGCTTCAATCTTTTCTTCGGTATTCATGTCCCATGATTCCTTATCCTGAGGTGCGAAAAGAATAATACAAAAATTATTTGAGAAAAACACACAATCTCAGTAATTTGATGCCAATGGATACATGTTGCACAACATAATCTGAGCGGTATTATTGACCCACCTTTTCAAAAGATACGAGCTCAACCTCATAGTAGACTGTCGAATTAGGAGGTACCACAGCCAACTCCTGTGGGGACTCTGAGGAACCAAATGCATACTCTGGTGCAATGGTCAGGAGTGCTACCTCACCCTTCTTCATTGTCAGGACAGCTCTATCAAGCCCATCAATCACTTCCTCTGTCCAATACAATCATTGACTCAGTACCACTGTAGGCAAAAAGAACAAAACAAAAGGTAAAAAAGAAGCACTTCGCATTATTATTACCCTCATCTGTCTTAAACTCGAACAGCTCTTCTCCTTCAGCATGACCTTTCTTCAAAAATTCCGTACCATCTTGCAGCTTCCCAATCAATTTCACTGCCAGCAACAAAATCAGATAACTATTTAAAAACTTTTTAACCTGGTATAGATTGTGAAATACTCATCTGAAATCAATGGCTAACACCTACATTTAACAACAGCCCCTTCATTTGGACGTTCAAATCCCTCCCCTTCTTTCAGGATCTTCTTAATAACCTTCTTGTCATCTGTCACTTCTGAGACAGTTTTCCATGATACCAACTCTAAAGTGATGTGAAGAGTGGCATTTGGAGGAATGGCACCCTCATAACCAGATGCAGGCTTACCCTTATCCCCAAATCCATCTGGAACCAAGACGCAGGCAAATATTAGATCATAACACAATGGTCATTTTTATATTTCATATAATATCAGGCTGATGGCTCAAGGCAACTCACATTGTGGTTTCACCGTTAATAATACCTTCTCCCCTTTCTTCATTGTTTTAACAGCCTTTGATAACGCCGGACAGAAGTAACCTATTTACAAGATTATGAGAACATTAAAAAACCAAATTCTCAACCAAAAAAAAAAAAAAAGAACTGAATTCATATATATATGACAAGAAAATGATACCATCTTTGACAGTGAATTCCACTCTGTCAGATTTTTCAACAACTTTTCCATCATCAAGCCGAGCCTCAAAATTAACTGCATAAAGAACAGGAGCGGAAGGCAGTTAATAGACAACGATCATAGATAGCACACAAGCCAATAGAAACAGCATTAAAGAGAAACTTACCTATAACTTCATCGAGGTCTTTTGGGTTCTCCCATTTTTCTCCCTCTTTCAAGATCTTCTTAATTATTCCACCATCCTTGGATATGTCATTGACACTGGTCCACGATAGCAATTCAACATCGAACTGCAATGTGGCTTTGGGAGGGATAGTTGGTGGGGATCCAGCCTCTCCATAAGCCAGCTCAGGAGGGATGGTGAAAAGGGCATCCTCACCTTTCTTCATCGTTCTAATACCTTCATCCCATCCCTTAATCACTTGTCCTGCACCACAACATCAGAAAACTCATTCCGTGAGAGAGAGCTCACCCTGAAAGGAGATCAAACTCCTAAGCATTTCCCAGGAGCTTTTAGATTATGACATAAGATTACAAAACAATAAGAACCACAACAACAAAATCTTAACAGGGACCATAATGTTGCATATCAATACAGCTATTTAAAACTCAACTTCATCTCTTTAACTTAACAAAAAGATGCCTCTACTTGTCAATTCTTCTTCCAAAGGTGACGAATTCATTGTACAAAAGATTTTAAAGTACAAATACGATGCATGTTTTCACTGCCAGTTTACGCTTGCTTCTTGATAACATTCCAGTAGTCCCAATGAAGTAAAATACCACTCTTTCGTCGTCAAATTATCACTTAAAGACTTTAAACCAATCATTCCCAAACTTCCCACCCACTTCCTATTGAAAAACACTCGTGCTCTGAAAACTTCTTCATTGCACGCATGCATTTGTGCAAAACTAATTTAACAAGGCATTATTTCCATCTAAATCATCCAGCAGCTTTATCAAGCTACTAAATCCAATTAGATTGAAACTGAAAAATGACCAAAAAGCTCTCACCTTGTCCAAGAGTGAACTTGAATGGAGTCCCCCTGTCACGGCTCGAATCGAACTGAGTCCCGTCGAGCAATGTCCCAGTATAATGAACTAAAACCATAAACATCGCAATCAATCTCAATCCATAAACAACAAAAACACTTCGAAATAACCAAAAAAAAAAAATCGCAGAAAACAATAGTTCAAAAAATCTTGCACCTTCAACCTCGTCGCCATTTTTTGGGGTGTCCCAACCTTCACCTTCCTTGAGGAGCTTCTTCTTCAAGCCCTGCTTGCCGATCTCCTTCTCCTCACCGACCTTGAGAACGGGACCCTCGTCGGGGAGATCAAAGTCCCCGTTCATCTCCTCCGGCACTGGCATGTCAAAGTCCTCATCCATTTTCTCGCGAGCGTTAGATGAGAGCCGAAGATTCTAGACTGAGATTTTGAGCTTCAAGAAAATTAGGTAAGTGTGAGTCTCTGTGTGAAAGTCGAGGCTTTTTTATGGGTGTGATTATGAGTTCTAGAGGCTTCTGCGAGGGTTTAGGTTGCAGGGAGGCTCGTAATCTGATTCGGTAGCTCTTCGATCGTGCTCCGGGTATAATCCAACGGCTCAGATTATACTGATGCAGATACAACGTCGTGTGCTTTCCATTTATAGCATCCACAGCACAGTTCGAATACTACATGTCGTTTTCTTTTGTGACGTTGGTGTTCACTTTTCACTGTCTTTAATATGCAGTGTCTTCTTCCAGCAGAAGGCAGAAGACAAAAGACAGAAGCAACAGAAAACAGTGAGTTTGCTTTATTTAGAAGAAAGCCTCCCAAAATGAGCAAAAGGGCTTTTGGCATAAAGGCCACCAAGTTTACATCTTTCTTTTGAGCAACTTCCAAGTAATTTTGAAATGATAATGCTCCCCCAAGTCCACATCTTCCTTTCGTTTTGTTTTTGGTTTCTGATAAAATGATTTGACATATTTGGCTGTGAACTTTAATCGCGTATTTAGACAGCCACGATCATTATGTTTGAGATTAACAATCTCAAAACATCGCACCTCGGCATGTCAAATTATGGTAAGAAAACATATTTCCTCTTAAGTTCAAAAGTACATTGAAAAAAATGTAGTGTAGTCTGCTAAATAAAGCAAGATAAAGTTTTGGCTCACCAAGCCACTGGTTACAAGTAATTTCTTGAACACAACTAAGAAATGAAAAACGAAGGGGCAGCCCAAGTCAGAAATCATTCCCCAACTACAGCTCGTCATCATTAGGTTTCGATCCTCTTCCCAAAATTTCAACGAGCTCCGTGTCAAATATCAGTGTTGCGCCTCCTGAAACGTTCAAGGAACAATCATTTGAGATTCTGAACTATATTTTATCTATAAGCATCATTGTCTGTAAAGACAATTATGTAGATCTTCCCATCCTGAGTTTTCATATGCATTTACTCTAATCATTTCATTGCTTTTACACATATATGGTTCACACTAAATAGAGGCACAGGCAGAAGAGAATTGAGTACAGTGATGCAGAAGAGAATTGGTTGAACTA